TGGATGGATGGATGGATGGATGGATGGATGGATGGATGGATGGATGGATGGATGGATGGATGGATGGATGGATGGATGGATGGATAGATGGATGGATGGATGGATAGATGGATGGATGGATGGATAGATGGATGGTGTGAAAGTGAGTAAATCGTTAGCAATTTATTATCGACCGCGTCTGTAAGAGCGAGAGCTTTAATATTTTACGGTCACGCGGTGTTCGTTATTTTTCTGCTGATGGAATCGCTTCTTCTGCGCGCTAATATGCCACTCATTGTTCGCACCTACGAAATGCGTGCCGTGTCGGATATCTGGATGGAGTCTTGCCTACCCGCGTGCGTGCGTGCGTAGGTGCGTGCGATCATGCGTGCGTGCGTGCGTGCGTGCCTGCGTGCATACGTGCGTGCCTGCGTGCGTGCGTGCGTGCGTCCATGCGTGCCTGCCTGCCTGCGTGCGTGCGTGCATACGTGCGTGCTTGCCTGCGTGCGTGCGTGCCTGCCTGCCTGCGTGCGTGCGTGCGTGCGTGCGTGCGTGCCTGCCTGCTTGCCTGCCTGCGTGCACACTCGCACAGACCTAGACGAAAACCTATAGACTAAGAAATGGAAAGAAGTCCTTGCATGTAAGGTGTACGTATATATACGCTGAGTGTACCAGTCAGTGCACAATCTGACTACGGTAGTATGTTAGCGCACGCGTCATATCTCACCAGAGGAGTCATATTTTGTACCGAATATGCATTTAATCGGGTCATGGGGCATCTGAACATAGATTTATGTGATTAATTCTAGTCAGTATAGACCTGTGTGTATGAATGGTAGAGCGCCCTAGCCTGTAGAGTGTAAAACTGCTACTTCATCCCGCCCCGTCACCCTCCTTCCCTCCCTTGTCCCTCAATCAGCCTACTTTTCCTTCTACTCCCTCAGCTATCTCCCCTGCCGCGTTCTCTCAGTCCTCACGCCCTTCTCTACCTCAGAAAGCTATATTATATCATATTTTTTCAGTCTGAACAGCACGCGTGAAACGGTGCTCGCGCATGCGCAATATCTTCCAAGAGGACTAATATTTTGCAAAAATTATGCATTTAAAACAGAGAGAAGGTATCCTAACTTTGATCTACATGATAAAACACCACCAGTAGACCTCTCTTGAGAAATGGGAAGAGGTACTTGCATGTAAGGTGTACGTGTTTGCGTGTGTGTGTGTGTGTGTGTGTGTGTGTGTGTGTGTGTGTGTGTGTGTGTGTGTGTGTGTGTGTGTGTGNGTACGCGTCTGTGTGCGCGCGTGTTTTGTGAAATGGAGGAGGAGCGCGAGAGGGAAGGGAGGAAGCGAATTTGGAAGCGATAAAATCACACGGAGAGAGAAATAATTAGAAAGATGAGGAGAGAGATAAAGAGGGGCGGGCTATCACGGCTGGCTGGTCACTACTGTTCTATACTAACTACTGCTTGCGACAAGCTAAATCCCCGTCATCCCGCCATGGTAGGAAATGTACGTTCGTCTGTGAACATCGATCAATTGTTAAATAAAGACTGCCGTTCTATTTCTGTCTTTCCACGCCCCTCCCCTCGGCACTTCCCTCTCACTCCCTCTGTCACTTTCTCTCTCTCTCTCTCTCCCTCTCTTTCTCTCTCTCTTTCTATCGCTTTCTCTCCCCCCTCTCT